GGCAGGAAACCCCTGATTCCCCCCTTCTAAATCTGCCACTGTTACTTAGGTACCTACCTTGATTATTGGGCTCAGGTAAATGCTCCCTAGCAACCAAGTGCATCACAGTCATCTTGCCCACCGGCAACTGAAGTGCTGGAACAATGGAACAAGTTTCGAGATTAGATTACAAGAAATAATGAGAGAGAGAGAGAGAAAGAGAGAGAGAGAAGAAGCTATTACAAAGTTATATTTCAAATTGTTACATTCTATTGGATAACAGTTTTTCTCTCTCTGTAATGATCTAAATATATATACTGCACTGAATGTTCACCATGCTGTACTAGTGTTACATCATCATCCAAGGCCGTCTTGCAAATTGTGACAGGTGTCCATGACCTACTTATCCCATAATGAGATAGTTGCGCTCGATCTACTTGAACTTTCCCTAAATTGTCTGTTTCCATGAACTACTCATTGATATGTTTCTATGGACTACTTACCCACAAATGTGATGCTTCCTGGAACTACTTAACACCAAGACAACTCTCTCAATGTTATATTTCAGTGGATTACTTAACCCACCCCCAACCGTGTTATGTTTCCATGGACTAGTCACCCCCAAATGTTTAATTTCAATAAATTACTTACCCCCCAATGTCACGTTTCCATGTAAAAATCTTCCTTGATATATGAGGCGCAGGATATTTGTGGGGGGCAGCTGCTCATCTGCCCAACCTGGAGAAAAGCAGGAGAAAAATATTAACAAACAACAAATGATAGGCATTCCTTTATTACAGAACATGTGATAGGTAATGAAGCTGTATGGAAGTGATCTGCAGGAACATGCTGTTGACCTTTTGCTTACTAAATTACAAGTGAACAATCTAATCTGCTTGGTGGGTATAGTAAGACATAAATTAGGAGAAAGGTGAAAACGAGGGAGACTTAGAAATAGCGCGAAAAAGAATATAGTTTACAATGCACAACAAGAATATCAATCTCATTAAAACATGCAACAGGCTGGAAAAAATACTGAAATGACAAAACCAGATGAAGCTTTCTGTCTGAATATCATGTATACTTACTATGTGTATGCTTAAACACATAATAAGAGGATCCGATGGTATCACAGAGAGGCCCAATGGATACCAAGACTTATAAATTCCTGCTGAACAATGTACACACATGCCCATCTTATTATATTCTTGTAAATCACCTTTATATAGCTTCAGAAAGTTATATTTACTCAAACCTAGGTGTAGTCTCTCTTTCAACAGATAACATTATTGATTTCTTTAACTGTGGAAGACACAAAATCTATGGTTCTTATGACAATACTCAAAGAAGAAGATACTTGTAACTAAGTGGAAAAAATAAGTTATTTCATAAAATGTAAAGAATCAAATTAAGGGGGCGGGATCTTACCTTGTGGCCAGTTATCGTAGACATATTGTGTGATCTCTGCCGCTGAACTGTTGGGGGTGAACAGGAACTCATTTGTTTTACCACTCACTAGGATAAGCTTGAGGCTGATCTGGAAAATAAAATTCGAAGAAAATTGATCAATATGTTGTACACCAAAACAATTTTCTGCCTGTCTTGTGTGAAAACATCAGTCACTTTATAAGTTCAGGCATATCACTAGGGAATGTCTAATGCTAATGACAACAGGTGATAAATGACTCCAAATTACAATACTATTTTGTATTGATAATGGTGATACTTTTACTAGACTTCTTGTCCACGCAAATGATTAAATAAACATCGAAAAGCAAAAACATGTTAGTAAACATGTTTTACACTAGATGAGGAAGAAGTTAAGAAGAAGTTAAGATCTTTAATAATTAAAGATTATTGAACCAATCAAGACAAAAAAAAAAAAATCCATAGCTAATATAAGCTAAAACATATATATCTGATATATGTAATATAACTACATGATTAAATATAAAATTCAACAGACACATACAGAGAAGCACCACAGCTAGGTAGGAAATGGGCTGAAACCAGCAGTCTGAACTCCTGGTGATAAATCACATGATCTGCATTACAGTTTTCTCACAAAGGAAAGGTGTACCAAGTACAACAGATATTGATATTGTTAACTATAAAATAGAATCTTTAAATTATTTCTGTTTGGTCCCTACTAGTATGCATTATCAAAGTCATGACAGCTGATGAATTCATTCAGGCTTATTCCATATCTTACTTGTTTTGCTTTTGAGTCGATGAAATGTTACCACATGGTCCACACTTGCTGATTTACTGTCTTTACATTACCCCTCCCAAGTCCCTACCAAATAATAACTGTAGTATATCACTTTCTTATAAAACTACTAACAAAGGTATTTCTTTCAGCAATACATCAGTGCCAGCTATCCGATAACTCCCAGTGAGTCTATCAAATGGCAATTTGCATCACAGAAACTTCATTAACAGGCCATAATGTAAAGAGATGCTAAGGTTAAGTGGGTCTTTAAGGGAGGCATGATGTCAGTATAAAACTGCAGCCAGAGTTTACCACTGCTTATGCAGTGACAGGATATTTAGATAAAGAGATTCTTGTTAAAAGGGTCTTCAATGTTCTTCACTTCATCCAGTGACTTTGTATATAAGGGCTGATTGCCAGTGAAACTATCATTCTATGATGTAGATTTAACCAACTCTGCGGGACTCTCGTTGAATGCAAACAGATAATGATTAACACACCAATTCCTGGCATTGAGCAGAATACAAGAAAACTGGTGATTAGACAAGTACGTTGGAGACAACACACACACACACACACACACACACACGTACTACCAACAATCCACAGCAGAATAATCAACAACTACCAAGATAAAACGAACACAGAGATACTCAGAAATCTTGCATCCTTTTTATACTTTTTTTTTTAACTCTGATATTTCTCTTATAATCATATTTCATTTTAAATTTTAAAAAGTATGGATCAGATGAAACTGTCATCCAATTTTCATTTTTATTCTTCACTTTTTACAGATCTCACTAAGTTATTTTCTCATTCCGTCATAAAATTTCCTGGCACAAACATCAAGTGATAAGATAATTTTTCAACTTGAATGAACTGAGACAGGATGTAAACCTCCGCAAACAAAGCAGAGGTCATACAAGGTGATCAATATATTCAATCTATCTGCCTAGCTCTCTCTACATTAATTGGATGACGTTTTCCAGCTGAACATTTCATAAATACTGATCAACAAAACACTATCTATACACTATCACAATATTATAAAATCAAGAAAAGTTAAAGAAGTGAAAAAATGCAATAACATATTTCAAAATATCTTTTCATGATTTCCTTTCAATTATTCAGATTGAGTATATCATGTATTTGGGTTTAAATTTATGGCTCTAAATTGGACCACATGAATCAATGAACAGGTTAAAGACAGTAAAGCTGTAGAAATAGGAGAGCTGACAGTCAGACTGACACTGGNACTGGCAACTGAAGTGCTGGAACAAGATAAAGAGAGATCAGATTACAGTAAATAATGAGAGAGAGAGAGAGAGAGAGAGAGAGAGAGAGAGAAGCTATAACAAAGTTATATTTCAAATTGTTACATTCTATTGGATAAGTTTTTCTCTCTGTAGTGATCTAAATATATATACTGCACTGAATGTTCGCCATGCTGTACCAGTGTTACATCATCATCCAAGGCCGTCTTGCAAATTGTGACAGGTGTCCATGACCTACTTAACCCATAATGAGTTAGTTGTTCTTGATCTACTAGAACCTGCACTAAATTCTCCGTTTCCATGAACTACTCATTGATATATGTTTCTTTGGACTACTTACCCACAAATTTGATGCTTCCTGGAACTACTTAACACCAAGACAACTCTCTCAATGTTATATTTCAGTGGATTACTTAACCCACCCCCAACCCTGTTATGTTTCCATGGACTAGTCACCCCCAAATGTTTAATTTCAATAAATTACTTACCCCCCAATGTCACGTTTCCATGTAAAAATCTTCCTTGATATATGAGGCGCAGGATATTTGTGGGGGGCAGCTGCTCATCTGCCCAACCTGGGGAAAAGCAGGAGAAAAATATTAACAAACAACAAATGATAGGCATTCCTTTATTACAGAACATGTGATAGGTAATGAAGCTGTATGGAAGTGATCTGCAGGAACATGCTGTTGACCTTTTGCTTACTAAATTACAAGTGAACAATCTAATCTGCCTGGTGGGTATAGTAAGACATAAATTAGGAGAAAGGTGAAAACGAGGGAGACTTAGAAATAGCGCGAAAAAGAATATAGTTTACAATGCACAACAAGAATATCAATCTCATTAAAACATGCAACAGGCTGGAAAAAATACTGAAATGACAAAACCAGATGAAGCTTTCTGTCTGAATATCATGTATACTTACTATGTGTATGCTTAAACACATAATAAGAGGATCCGATGGTATCACAGAGAGGCCCAATGGATACCAAGACTTATAAATTCCTGCTGAACAATGTACACACATGCCCATCTTATTATATTCTTGTAAATCACCTTTATATAGCTTCAGAAAGTTATATTCACTCAAACCTAGGTGTAGTCTCTCTTTCAACAGATAACATTATTGATTTCTTTAACTGTGGAAGACACAAAATCTATGGTTCTTATGACAATGCTCAAAGAAGAAGATAACTAAGTGAAAAAAAGAAGTTATTTCATAAAATGTAAAGAATCAAATTAAGAGGGGGGGGGGGGGATCTTACCTTGTGGCCAGTTATCGTAGACATATTGTGTGATCTCTGCCGCTGAACTGTTGGGGGTGAACAGGAACTCATTTGTTTTACCACTCACTAGGATAAGCTTGAGGCTGATCTGGAAAATAAAATTCGAAGAAAATTGATCAATATGTTGTACACCAAAACAATTTTCTGCCTGTCTTGTGTGAAAACATGAGTCACTTTATAAGTGCAGGCATATCACTAGGGAATGTCTAATGCTAATGACAACAGGTGATAAATGACTCCAAATTACAATACTATTTTGTATTGATAATGGTGATACTTTTACTAGACTTCTTGTCCATGCAAATGATTAAATAAACATCGAAAAGCAAAAACATGTTAGTAAACATGTTTTACACTAGATGAGGAAGAAGTTAAGAAGAAGTTAAGATCTTTAATAAAGATTATTGAACCAATCAAGACAAAAAAAAATGCATAGCTAACATAAGCTAAAACATATATATCTGATATATGTAATATAACTACATGATTAAATATAAAATTCAACAGACACATACAGAGAAGCACCACAGCTAGGTAGGAAATGGGCTGAAACCAGCAGTCTGAACTCCTGGTGATAAATCACATGATCTGCATTACAGTTTTCTCACAAAGGAAAGGTGTGCTCAGTACAACAGATATTGATATTGTAAACTATTACATAGAATCTTTAAATTATTTCTGTTTGGTCCCTATGCATTATCAAAGTCATGACAGCTGATGAATTCATTCAGGCTTATTCCATATCTTACTTGTTTTGCTTTTGAGTTGATGAAATGTTACCACATGGCCCACACTTGCTGATTTACTGTCTTTACATTACCCCTCCCAAGTCCCTACCAAATAATAACTGTAGTATATCACTTTCTTATAAAACTACTAACAAAGATATTTCTTTCAGCAATACATCAGTGCCAGGCTATCCGATAACTCCCAGTGAGTCTATCAAATGGCAATTTGCATCACAGAAACTTCATTAACAGGCCATAATGTAAAGAGATGCTAAGGTTAAGTGGGTCTTTAAGGGAGGCATGATGTCAGTAATAAACTGCAGCCAGAGTTTACCACTGCTTATGCAGTGACAGGATATTTAGATAAAGAGATTCTTGTAAAAAGGGTCTTCAATGTTCTTCACTTCATCCAGTGACTTTGTATATAAGGGCTGATTGCCAGTGAAACTATCATTCTATGATGTAGATTTATCCAACTCTGAAGGACTCTCGCTGAATGCAAACAGATAATGATTAACACACCAATTCCTGGCATTGAGCAGAATACAAGAAAACTGGTGATTAGACAAGTACGTTGGAGACAACACACACACACACACACACGCACACACACACACACACACACACACACACACACACACACTTACTACCAACAATCCACAGCAGAATAATCAACAACTACCAAGATAAAACGAACACAGAGATACTCAGAAATCTTGCATCCTTTTTATACTTTTTTTTAAACTCTGATATTTCTCTTATAATCATATTTCATTTTAAAATTTAAAAAGTATGGATCAGATGAAACTGTCATCTAATTTTCATTTTTATTCTTCACTTTTTACAGATCTCAGTAAGTTATTTTCTCATTCCGTCATAACAATTTCCTGGCACAAACATCAAGTGATGAGATAATTTTTCAACTTGAATGAACTGAGACAGGATGTAAACCTCCGCAAACAAAGCAGAGGTCATACAAGGTGATCAATATATTCAATCTATCTGCCTAGCTCTCTCTACATTAATTGGATGACATGTTTTCCAGTCAAACATTTTATAAATACTGATCAACAAAACACTACATATTCAATATCACAAGTCAATATTATAAAATCAAGAAAAGTTAAAGAAGTGAAAAATGCAATAACATATTTCAAAATATCTTTTCATTTCCTTTCAATTATTCAGATTGAGTATATCATGTATTTGGGTTTAAATTTATGGCTCTAAATTGGAGTACATGAATCAATGAACAGGTTAAAGACTGTAAGGCTGTAGAAATAGGAGAGCTGGCAGTCAGACTGACACTGGTCATGTTCTCAGCTGAAGAAATGGGAAAGCTGGCAGTCAGAATGACACTGGTCATGTTCTCAGCTGAAGAAATGGGAGAGCTGGCAGTCAGAATGACACTGGTCATGTTCTCAGCTGAAGAAATGGGAGAGCTGGCAGTCAGAATGACACTGGTCACGTTCACAGCTGAAGAAATGGGAGAGCTGGCAGTCAGAATGACACTGGTCACGTTCACAGCTGAAGAATTCGGAGAGCTGGCAGTCAGAATGATACTGGTGGTGTTCACAACTCATTTAATTTTGACTAGATATTGCCCAAATGACATCACCAAATTAAAGGACCATATAGGGCATTCCAACGACATTCAGTTTATTGTTTTAAGCCAAGTTTAATACATGGGGACACGGGTTCAAAAAGAGCAGACCTGACAGTTGAAATGGCACAGGTTAACCACTATTTCATCTGTAAACCAGTCTCAGGTTGATGAAACATTTCCTTGTTCTCATCTTCAGGCCTTAAAAACTTACCTAACCTCTTTGAGCACAGGTTCATAAAACAATGCACTGTGCTGTTGGATTTCCTGGCCACACCATCTACTTTGTGCCAAGGAAAAAAGATATAGATATCACTTAGATGATATCAGACAGTCTTTAACTTATCCAACACCCTCAAAAAAAAAAAAAAAAAAAAAAAAAAAAAAAAGACTCTCTACCAATTTGGATCACTCCATAAAATGGTTTTTAAATAGTCTAATGCCAATCAATTCAATATCAGATTAAAGTACAAAAAAATCCCACATGAGTTAAACTTGTGTTAGAACATGTGCAAATGTACCAAAAGCAATACAAAAAGTAAACAGCTTCATCTCTTAGTAGCTAGAACATTAAAGGGATAATAACTCTTCGTATGAGATCTATATTTCACAATAAAAACATTGTGAATAGCTCATAGAAATATAATATATTCTGTTTTACGACAAAAACAGCAGTTATAGCTATTATTCTGATATCTGAGATTGTCTTCAGGTCACGTGACCTCCATTGATGGCTATACTCTGTTATAATCTCTTAAGAGATTTTAACAAAAAACCAAACTTTTTAGAAAAAAAAACCGGGACTAACTTTGAATGTAAAAATGGATTCATTAACCATTGGTAAGTATGGGAAAATTGTTGTTTACTCCAGGAAAATTCATTTTTTGGCCAAAACGAAGAGTTATTATCCCTTTAAATGCTCCATTTACTGTTCCCTGATGTATTTCAAACTGTCAACACTCAAACATTATCATCCTTTTGGTTGTTATCAGCTAGCATGATTGCATAATACCTATCTATATTTTGTTGTAGTCAAAACAAGACCACTTCTGCGTTGGTAAAATGAGATAAACACTTTTTTTATCAGACTACTGGCTTTCTTATGACTGATCAACAACCTGTTTAGTTTCCAACTGATGCTGGTTTCTATTTTCTGAACCTTTTTTTTTAAAACCTTAGTCAAACACATCTTCACGTCATAGATTTAATTTTCTCATAACAATTTACACATTGAGACAATATCTGCCATAGATTCTTATTAGTCCAGACCCTGATCTTGGTTTTTAACATAGGCTCTAAATGACAGGTTTGTCTTTCTTTTATGATATTAATTGCAACATTTAATGCGTGAATTTAAAAATCAGTGTAATTTTGATAAATCTTCATTGATGTGCTTTGCTCCACTCTTTTCTTCGCAGAGTCAAGGGAGTCCTTTCCTCAAACTAATTTCATGTTTTCGTCAATATTACATTTATTTCTAGGAAAAATCACACTTTTGCTAAGCATTTTAAATGTTTCAATGACTATGTGATAACAAAAGAACAGGGGAGGCGCTGTCAGTGCACACAAAGCAGCCATATAAACTAAAGAAAGCCAAGACATAATTGGATTCTTCTGTATGTCTTGCATGTGACAAGTAATCGATAGAAAAAAGAGAGGTCTCAATTTAATACCTATTTTTAATATTCCCTTGTTAAAAAAGCAAAAAAAAAAAAAAAAAAAAATTGATATAACTGGTGAAAATAATGAAAAATGCTGAATCATGGTTGTAAGATACCGAGTCGCTTCCTTAGGGAATGTGTTAAATAACCTTCTGATTATTTCAAAACAGACAATGTTTTTTTTTTAATACATTACTAGTAATAATAAAGCCAGGGCTCTTCTGTACAGAAAGACACAAAGTGAGTAAAAAAATTCCACAAAGTCTGCTTAAAAAATGCTAACTGCTTATATTAAATGACTTATTACCACAAAACATCACCCTTCATATCCTTCAGTTACATCCTGTATCTGAGCTGCTCTATTCACATATGCCTGCGCGTCCTTGTGTATGCGTGTGTGTGTGTGCATGTGTGTGTATGGGGAGGGGGAGACAGTACCTGATTACTTAAGCAAATCCACATCACCACATATTATGAATCTACAGAAAGCAAGAACCAAGATTCAACATCTAGATAACCGAGCCTAGCATGTTGAACAGCATGAAGAACTGAATGTTTGTCTTTATAAATCAATAGTTCACACACTGAGGCTGGACACAGGAGGTAGATTAGTTTCCATCATAGAGATTATTTCAACAGACTTGTCTAGGAATCAGATTGAAAACAAGTTTAAAAGAGGACACTGTCTAACCCTATCCACACAAAGCCAACAAAATGTCTAAAACCTGTTTTTATCCAAATGTTATTAAACCTTAAATCATATTTGGTGTATTCATTTTAATCAATATATTAAAATATTTCGAGATGGATATTAAAAACAATAAAAACATATTTGTTTGATAGTCTGTCAGTGATTTAACAACAAATACAATTTGATACAGATTTTATTTATCAAAACATTTGGCATAAGCAGAAGAAATCAACAAAAACATTTATACAATATCACCAAGCCAAGCGCTTATGTGTAATAGGGAAAACAAAAATATTCAATACCTCACAAGAATATTTGTTTGTCTAAAAAAAAACTATTTGCAACTAAACTAAAATCCAACTTAATGTGTACTGTTGATTGATGAGTGCAATTAAATTTAAAGATACATGTGTCATGCAGTTCATAGTCTTATTTTTAGCATAAAATTGTTTAAGTGGCAATAAATATTTTATCCAAGGGCTAGTGTCAATTTTTTTTTTTTTAGAATAAGAGAAAATAGTGTCATATCTATTTTAGATTCTAAAATGCAGTTTCATTCATTTCTCCCAATAAGAAATCATTGCTTGAAATGCCAATGCACTTTGATTTGATGTTTTATTCAAGTTTCAATTTAATGAATTAGTTATAAATGACAGGCCAGAAAGAGAGAAGCATTTATTATGAGTTAGCTTGACTGTTTACATGAACAAACCAAGTAACAAATCCAATAATGATTATGATGATGATGATGATGAAGACAATTACTTAAGGCAGTGTGTCATTTTTATCATGTGTTGATAAATCTAATACCCCGTTCACACTACAGTTGCCAAAATGCGCATTTCTATAATTCGGATTTTTCGTAAGGAATCCGATTCGGTATTGTGTTCACACTCGCTAAGCGAATCCGAATCCCACGTTGAAAATTTCAGGTTTAACTTCCTGTTTTGAACACTCGCGCATGCGCCGCACAGGAAATCTTAAAATATCAACAAAAATTTGTGACGACAAATGCAACTCAAAAGACATTCCAGCATTCCTGAGAAGTATAAGGTGGCAAAATAAGTTTGTTTCCTCATGTTGTAGTGAGTGGTGACCGCCAAATACGTTTGGTGCAATCGCTAAAGTAATAAACCAGCGTTCATAGATACCCGCACTTATCTGCACACATGCGCAGTAAGATCTGTACAGGTGTCGATTCCGGTAAGTTATCCGGATCGCGCTTAGAAATCCACCTCGCTTGCAGGATTTTGAAAATGCGCATTTTCAAAATCCTCTTGCGTTCACACTACTGCATTTATTCGAATTGTGACCTAATTCGCAACTTATCCGGATAACTGAGCGTAGTGTGAACGGGGTATAAGATTGTTCATATGGATTATGAAATGAACAATGTACTACTAGTGTTTAGATGTGAAAAATGCAGAACACCAGTGACCTGGAGTTCAATCAATGCAACAGACAATCAGCTACAATGTATCAAAGGCGATATTATAGTTATAAATGCAATTTCTTTCTTAAGCAAATTATTAAAATGTATCACACTAATTGGATGATTCCTGAAATGAAGTAAAGCAAGTGTCAGACAGTGTCACTGTCAGTGGATGTAAAAGGAAATCTCTAACATTGCCAATCAATATAGATCTACGTCCCACTCACCTTATCTGATGGAACAGACATTTTTTCGCCCTTCACATCAGTCTTGATTACTTATCTAACCGAATGCTGTTGAATGAATTCCCTTTTAAGAATGATCGTTTAACAAAGTCACTATCATCGGTGACAAGTCGCCTTTGGCTCAGCCCAGTTGTTCACAAAACGCAGGGGAGAGTCGTCATTTTCAACGATCGTGCTCCATCTTCGGGCAATGTGTTTGATAAAAATTCACACTTAAGAATCCAATCTATCTTCCTAGGCAAAAAGAATCCAGGTGAATGTAGTTCCAAGGTAGATTTAAGAGAAAATATTCTTGTTACTAATTCCCCGAGTTAAAATTCCTTAATGGCGGATTCCTAGTGGGATTATGGGTAAATTTCCCTGACGTCACGCTGTAAACAAAACACCAGAGGGCATGGCTGATTACAGTTTGAATAAAGGTAAGCTCATTGTAAATTTAACCCAATCAGCACAAAAATGTAGCGTTCTAAACAAAAATTGATATAAAAGAGGTTCACAACACTTGATAAAGGAGAACTGGGGAAAGTATCACCAGAGCCTTCGAATGGCTTCTGTAATTGCAATTATGATGAATTCTCTGTCCCTTCTCGTATTTCATGGTGCATCTCACTACCTAAGTTATTTTCACTATCAGTGCGAGGGTTACTTTATTTGTAGTGATGAGTTTCTAACTCATACCCATTTTTACGGTTTTGTTGCTTTGTTCAAAGTATTGTTTATTTTAGTGTTAGAACTAAACGAGACAATATGTAGGAATCTTAAGAATATAGTACTGTGTAGAAATTGCTCTCTGGAGGATTGGGGGGGGGGGGGTATAATGCCTTTGGAAACATATGATCAACCTTTTGCCTACGTGCACTTGTTATCTCATGTCACTAGCTATAGTCAGTGGCTGCTCTTTGCCATTTTATTGTAAAATACTTTGTCAAACATGATTCTCTCAGTTTCAGGTGGAAGCATGACTGTTAGATTCCAATAATGGCATCAACACTCGTGCTTACAGAGTCTAATCATGAAAGGTATTGTATGAGAAATTCACCTACTACTACATGTACATATACTTCAGTATATAAATGTAAAGAGCAAGATAAAAAGTTGAAAGATTTAATAAAACGAAAAGATTACAAGTAAGCTAGCATATCTTAAAAGATCTAAAGAAAAGTTTCCTTGTCTTTAAAAGCATACTTATATAGATCTTCATTTGAAAGTGATTTTCTTTGTCTTCACTTACTGTAAACCTGCCAATATTTTCTTCTGAAATGGAAGACATATGATAGACCAAATGACTGGCCAGTCATTTGTAATTACTGTAAAGCATATAATGAGAAGTGGCATAATGCATCACTAAAGCAATCTATGCAGGTGCAGGGGCGAGTCCAGTAATGATTCTTCGGTATACGTGATAGAAAATTACATATTGTGCAAAGAAAATTTGGTTTGGCAGGAAATGATTAAAATATGGCAGTTCCAATTTCTTGAAATAAACTTGTTTGTATGACTTTTATAAATATCACTAATAAAAAGCTATGTACTGCTACATCCATTGACTTAGCAAATGATCTCTGGTTTCAGGCTTAGCAGGTCTTCCTCCAGGGGCTCTCCTGCAAGACAGCCCCAAATCATCACCTATAATGACTGTGCCAAAGGTTTAGGTGGGTAATAAAGTACATGTACAGCACAGTCCAGGATAGTTGGCTGGTGACCAGTGTCTTTGTTGACCAATATAAAACTGTTATGCAAAAGATAATAGATTTGTACTGTTGTGGAATATAAACTGTAATTTTTCAGAACTTAAGAAAAAAATAACAGAAAAATATCACTGGATAAACTTTGTCAGCTTTTTTTTTTGCACCCACTCACTAATCTACCACTATTTATGACCCCACTAGATTCTAAGCTCATTTGCCAGATTTTTGGCTATCTCAGGTGATTTCTACTGTCTTACAACATTGGTTAAACTGGCAGACTGCAGGTTTAACTAAAAGGCCATTTAAATCCATACAGTTTGATAGAATGTTGAAGCATGGGCTCCAAATTGAATTTAAATAATTTTTGGTCATATGTCAGCAATTAGAGATGAAGGCCTATTTGAAAATTCATTTCAGTGCTACACTTCTTCTTGTTTCAGGTATTAAAATAATAGGTGGATGCAACTCTGAGGAAAATAGGGGCCATGGTATATTTGTTAGAAGGATCTTGATTGGTGGATTGGCAGCTAGAGATGGTAATTTTGAGAAAACTGTTTTCAGAACACCTGCAGCTTTCCAATTTTCTTTAAAGGGTTGGGGACATCTTGACAACTGATTTACAAACTAGTGTTATCAGCCACAAATTCCACAAAAATGAAATAAATATAAGTTAACAGTTAAGCCCCATTCCCACTGTCACCATTGTTGTACGTGGATCATACCAGCTCTGCAGGGACTCTCGCTGACTGCAAACAGCTGAACTGAAAGACACGCCTCCTCTTGGCGTTAAGTAAAATAAGGAAAAGCTTGTCATTATACATGTTAATTATAGGAGTACATCGGAAACAAGACTTCGTGTCACATTGCCAGAATTACAATGTGGTCAGTATTCCTGATCAAAGTTGCCATTTAATCATTGATTATCTGAGTGTCATATTATTGATGATATTAAGATACACATGCATGGTTTGAAAAATAATTTATTAGGAATCACCGATGACCCTGTACAATGTCTTTCACAGGCCGCCTTTGTGAAGGTGATGAGATTTTAGAAGTCAATGGGCAATCATTTGGGAGACGAACTACAAACGAAAGGTAACTCCTTGTATTGGGTAGTACATAGTAAAATTTGAAATGAACACATTCATGAGAAATATGCCAAAATCAGTTATGATTATCATAATAAAAAGTCTAGCAACATTCAAATATGTTCACTTGAAAATGAAAGCAGGTACCACCAAACCAAAATATAATTTATGTAAGTGCACTGTAGCAACAAAGATTTTGTCATCAAATTCAAATTTGTAAAGTGTATCGAAAATGGAATGTTAACAAATAAAAATTTAGCATTATAGCAGTTTATAGTGGTTTATAATCAATCTTAATATTTAGTCAAGATTCAACCTGTTGCTTAAAATATGATTCTTGATTATGTTATTACATCTTAGTTAATCTTGACATTAAATAAAAAAAATGTTCACTTGAAAATGAAAGCAAGCACCACCAAACCAAAATATAATTTATATAAGTGCACTGTAGCAACAAAGATTATGTCATCAATTTCAAATTTGTACAGTGTATCGAAAATGGAACTTTAACAAATAGAAATTTAACATTATAGCAGTTTGTGGTGGTTAATAATGAATCTTAATATTTAGTCAAGATTCAACCTGTTGCTTAAATTTAATTCTTGATTATGTTATTACATCTTAGTTTATCTTGACATTAAATAAAAAAAAAAAAAAAGAAAGAAAGAAAGATGACAAATTTCTAGTTTTATCCATTAGTTTTTACAATCTGCATAATTTATTTCCAAATATGTACAAAAAACATGCTGAAAAGGTTTCATTCACCTGGCTTGAGGCTTGTAAACATAATAACTTTTAAATTAAAGTAAATGAATTAATGTCTATATTTATAACTCAGAAGATCTTGTTTCACTGAAATGGGCATGTTTGTATGTTCCCAGGGCTGTCTCTGTACTCAGAAGTGCCTCGGCTACAAGCACAGTACAACTTGTTATCACAAGAGATGAAATAGCAAGGTTAGTGATTGGGCTTGTCTTGGGGATAGCATGTTTATGACTTTTGAACTTCATCATTTCTTCAGTTATAACAAAAAATAGTCGAGCCATGTTATATGGTCTTGGATCTGAAAAAAGAAATGCAAGATAAATATCAAGTATCAATCCCCCATCTTCACTGTTATTGGCATTGAGGTTATTACTGTACCCAGTGACACTGCATCTGTAATGATCGAAGTTGTCGTTGTGAACATACAGTTTTATTCCATTGTTCCTCAGGTCAGAGTACCTCGATCTTCTTGAGAATCAGAGTAGCTATTCTTACTCTACAGCTACCCACAGTGCTTCCTCATCCAGAGCCAATACACCTCTGATGACTGCAGGTAGTATATGTTACAGTACTTACCCCATGTCACAGACCTGGGGAAACTGCCATTTGATCGCCTGGAGAGCCAGAGGACCGATGTAACATGAAAATCTGACACCCATGAAAATCTTGACTCACCCCTACAAAACTTCATAAATCTTATTTTATTTGAGTATATGACTAGTATGCATAATGAGGATACATTGGCACTTTTTGTTAATTTGCAGGTTATGGTTAGTGTTAGGAGTCAAAATTTCATAATGAAAATCTGACTGTAGAGTCACTTTTAGGGGAGTCAGACTTTCATGGTACACTGGCAAGATTTTTTGATAATGCAGGACCTCTGGATCGACAAGGTTTATATGTAAATACAATTCATTAAATAGGAATCGTAAACATTGACTAATGGACCTGCATAGAATTAGGAGGACCTATAGATTTCTTGGAGGGCAGGACCTTCAGAACCCAAAAATTGTCTGATGTTAAGAATTTTTTTTCATGATAATATATAGAAAATTGCAACCCATAGATTAAGGTTTTACATGATAATTGTCATAAAAGGAATATACATAGACATGTTGTAGAATAATGTTAAATAGAAATATAAACACTGCAGAACACACCTAGAAATATCTACGTAGAATGGTGTGAAATATATAGAGCTTCTCAGATTTGCAGTCGATCATATTGTGAAGGTTTTTTTATATATATTCAGCCATTTATATCAAGTGAAATGTTTTATTTGGATATAAATTACAAATTAGTTTTTCTTGACATCTTTATTGACTTTTTTTTAATTTTGATTTTTTTAAAAGAATTCAGTGAAAAGAGGTCATGGGTACTTAAGGATGGCCAGATGACCCCTGTGAGTCAGAGTTCAAGGTCAAGGTCGACTAGTCCAGAGGAGCATGGGAGGAGTAGAGGGTATAATGTTGGAGATGGTGAGGAGCAGGAATTGGAGGAGGAGGTAAGATTTCCTTATTGAAATGCTAAAGTATCTTTTTTGTATCCATATTGAAATCCTGAGGCATCTTTTTTTTTTTTTTTTTGTATCAAGGATTGGTGGAGTATGAAAGGATGTGGTTTGGTAATGTATTGTATCTTTCTTTGTGTTATGCTCTGTATTATTGTGTTAATCAGGGGTAATATAGGATAGCTATCGTTGTATGCATTTGACCTTATACCCCTGGCTTGCAAAGATGGCAATAAACTTCATTTATCCTTTTCAAATGAATGAATAGACTTGTTTCTTTACTGATGATTAAATGCTAAAAAAAGTTCAATACACATAAATCTGTATTAATTTTAAAGATTGATGTTCACCTGTAAGGGCATTTTTAGAAATGAACTCCTGTAGTAGTGTTGATCACAACATAAAGGAACAACTGCAACAATTCAATAGTAAAGTACATTGCTCTGGTGTGTTGATTGAACCTCTAACACAATGAGCTTTCTTTTTTTTTAAACGAAGACTGACTTTAAATAATAGATTAAAAATTTATTACCTGATTTTGATTATTTATTGTATTATCATTTGTTTATTGATTATTTGATTTGATTTTGATTATGGTGTGTTTGGGTTAACATTCAGCATCATTAAAGTTGTTATAGACAATAATTATTATCTTGCTGCTTTGATGTAAGAAAGAAAAATTTAAACCAAACATGAGAGTCAGATCTTATAAGTAATAGCAATAGTTTTTATGTACAGACACAGATGTGTCTGTACATATAGCCATCATCTGTGTCTGTCGTCGTCGTCGTCGCCGTCGCCGTCGCCGTCGCCGTGCACTTTTACCGATAACATGATAAGTGGAAAACCATTTTGCCTTTTGATTTGAAACTTGCAGAACTGATGAATATTCATAATACGCAGGTCAAGTTCGAAAATCAGCATGATCGGGTCACTCTTAGGGAATTTATGCTGTTTTTTCACTTTTTTCAACATATATGCAGCACCGATAACACGATAAGTGGAAAACCATTGTACCTTTTGGCTTGAAACTTACAGAACTGAGGAATATTCATAATACGCAGGTCGAGTTCGAAAA